TATCCTCCGATTGGCTGTGCAATTGTTTGTTGTCCCTGTCCAGGCTATCCTCGTTTGTGAGTAGGCCTATCACATGGGCTACAACAGGTGACAGTTCTGTCACCATAACTTGTCCAACTGTGGAAGGAGTGAGTAGATGTGGCGGTATCCTGTGTGTAATGGGTGGTAGGGCCGGAACCATCTGACCCCCTTGGCTGCTGAGCCGGAGGGCAGCCCCAATGTGCTGGACTAGCACCTTTGGCCAGAATTGGTTATCACTTGTGCACCACTCGTTTCCTTTCTTTTTCGTGCCGACTGTCGTGATCTGTGTTGAGGGTGCGTTGCCCGCCATCCTGTAATTGAGCTCCTTTAATAGTGTGGTGACAATTAGGATGATTGCTTTGGCCACCTGTCCCCAGTTGATCTCGTCAGTCGTTCGGTATTGGTTGACTGCTTACTTAATCCGGTGCTTTGCTATGATCTTCCTCCAGATTCGTTCCCATTGCAGCGGGAGGATAAATTCAGTGAGAGACCTTGTGATGCCCTAACCTCAGGCCCCGCGCGGCGTTCCGTACTTCGGATGCCGATCAAAGTTATTAGGGGTGTGGCCGATGATTTTTGGTTGTGGGGGTTGAGTCATCCGGACGAAACGAGGGACTCTTGCTTCGGCCTAAGGTGCCTAGGCGGGGATTTGGGTTATCGTCGAAGGTGGATGATGGGAGGACGGTGTCCTACGGCCCAACCGTCATCCTTTTTCAGAAAAAGAGAAAATAAAAGACGAGGAGCGGAGACAAAAAATGAAGCGGGCGGGGGCGGAGTTCTGTTCCCTGAGGCATAGGGTTCGCGTTGGCCTTGGGGGTGGAGGCCTCAAAACCAGGTTCAGACTTCGTTGTCGGACTCGTCCAGTCCGTGCGGACGGCGTGGCACGGGCTCGCCCGAGGTCGAACAGGTTGATGGAACCCAGGTTCGGAAATGGGCGGGGAGCGCACCTGCGTTATGGGAGAGTTTGGGGAATCGAGTAGCCCCTTCGTACCCCAGGACCAACCGTCGCCACGAGCACGAGTCTGCCTGGCGACACCAGTGACAGTTAAACCGCGGTCGCCAGGTGGCGTGCATAGTGGACCAAGGCAACACCGTGAGGTCGGTGTACGGCAAAATTAAAGGCGGGGAGACAAATCGCTCAATCAGCACAAACCCACTCCCGCCTATATGGCACGCCTGGGTCGGGTTATAAAGGTGGATTGACTCAGTGCGCTGCAGCAGGCTCCACATGTCTGTGTCGCAGTAGATGTCATCGTCGTCTGCGATCGCGAAGGGTGGAAGCACGCTGCGACGCTCTAAGGCCAGGTCCGATCTCGGGCCACGACCCGCACTTCCATCCGTCGAGACGAAACCTGACTCCATGCAAAGATCAACGAATGCCGCTGAAGAAGGATGCGCCCAACTTTCTTTCTCCGTCACTTCTTTGTATCATCAACCTCAACACTGTGTAAGGCACCCGTGGTGGATATAGAGAGGTCGGCCGCTTCGCGAGGACGCGGGTGGCCGATCTCTCTGACAGTATCCGCCTCCTCTTGGGGTCCCGAACGTCGCCCAGAGAGAGAGAGAGAGAGAGAGAGAGAGAGAGAGAGAGAGAGAGAGAGAGAGAGAGAGAGAGAGAGAAGCGAAAGGAGGTTGGCGTGTATCACACATACTCGCGCAAATAATAAAAAAGAAAGGGAGACGAAAAGGACCAACGCATTCATGCCCTCATGCAAGCAATCCACACTCGATACTTCCGCTCATCAGGACCAGAGGTGCATACACACACGCATACCCATAGAGCCTTTAAGGAAACATTCAACATCCATAGACTTTCATACCCGACATGCACAACAGATTACCCAACCTTTGGAGTCATGCACACATCACACAGTGACAAAGCAGCAATGGAGAAAAATCTTCGTCTTCAAAATACTGAATTCTCTCAACTGGCCGCTCCGGGCCCAGTCCCCAATCCGTCAAAACCACCGACAACCATAGCCACAAGGCCCTGCCGCTGTCGGCGTCTGATCCCCACCACCGCTCAGTCCCTTCGATTGCCTTACCCCAAGTCTACCGCTAACTCCGCCACCCGCCGTCACTCCGCCCACCACGGGGCACGTCGAGCCTTTGCAGCGCCGTGGGCTTTGCGCATAGCTTGCGCAGCTTGCAGCCAAAATCAAAGAGAGTGAGAGGAAGGGATTGCGGGAATTTATAGCGTGGAAGGCGGCGGAGATGCTGCGTGAAGCGCGGGGTGTAGATGGTTAGGACAGAAGAAGGGAAGACGTTCCAGAAGGGTCGAAGGAGGCGAATCGAATGTTCTGCGTGATTGGGGCGGTTGTCCAAGTGGGGTGCGCTTCCCACGGCCACCACATTGCCCCGACCATCCCAATCAGACAACCAATCGTTCGCAGGGAAAGGAGAAAGAGGGGATCGGACTTCGCTTAGAGGGAAGACGAAGAGACATGCAGGAGAGAGATGCCCAGGAAGAAGGGAAGATGGCGCGGGGATGCAGAGCGGGGGAACAGGTTTACGCGCGCGCAAAAATTCAAAATTCCTACTCCCGCTAAGTCCCAACTGTTTCTTGCATTTCTTGGCACAGCTGCTAACCGGCTACGCCAGACCCGAATTACATTTTCTATTCCGCCCCCACTCCCCTTAAACGAAAAGGAAAAAGAAAAAGGAAAATGAAACACCACTTTCCCCCATTATCTTGAATCCATACTTCGGGGTTCTACGTGCGGTTTTCCCTTAGGGGTACGGGAAACCGCCGAGTGCGGATCCTGGCTTATCACAACCTACCTGTTGGCACGAGGGAGTTCTGCATTATCCAGTCTGTGAGGTGCTTGAGGTGTGTACGCACATATTTTTCACGGATTTGCCACCGTTTCGACCAAAACCCAGCGCGCAGTCCCATGGGCAGCTACCGGTCCCGCATTTTTCAAAGAAACTGCCAAAACTCCCACCACCACCCAAAGTTTCACCCTGCCGCAGCTTTGCCACCGTTTGGACCAAAACCCAGCGTGCTGCACCACGGGCAGCTACTGGTCCCGCATTTTTCAAAAAACTGCCACCCCCGCCAAAAGTGTCGTGCCTGCACCCCTGCCTGCATTTTTCGAACCTTCCAACCAAACGAGCCCGAATCAAAGACCGGTACAACGAAGGACGACGAAAATGTCTCAGGGGGGAAAAACGCACCCCTGACGGGCTGTGAACCAATACCTATCAGAGGTATCACACTTGTGTTGGTCAAACACAGACCCTATTGACTTACCGTGAGGGCACGGGTGCGCAGCCCGTAGTTTGTATATAAACAAACAGAGAGAGAGAGAGAGAGAGAGAGAGAGAGAGAGAGAGAGAGAGAGAGAGAGAGAGAGAGAGATGGCACGCAGACAAGAGCAAAATGGGCACATGTGACTCACTCAATCGGGTGCTGAACGTGTGGGGCTTTGAATACGTCCACGTTCAGACACATCTGTTTGCACTTGCAAATGCAATGCAGGTGTGTCTTTTCAACCTGTGGCCAAGGCCGCGCCCTTTCCGATTCAGACTTTCCACTTTTCCACCCTGCCGCTGCTTCGCCACCAAAACCCAGTGCGCGGTCCAACGGGCAGCTACCGGTCCCACATTTTTCAAAGAAACTGCCACCCCCCCACCCTGCCGCTGCTTTGCCACCGTTTGGACCAAAACCCAGAGCGCGGTCGTACGGGCAGCTACGGGATATATATATAAATATATATATATATATATATATATATATATATATATATATATATATATATATATATATATATATATCATCACATAGAACTGCCCGGTAAACCGTAGGCAGAGAGGGAGAAGAGGACAACAAACGAGGGGCTGTGACAAACTGTTTCGTCGGAGTTTCACCGTATATATATATATATATATATATATATATATATATATATATATATATATATATATATATATATCATCACAATATATATATAGTCACAAACATATATATATATATATGCCACCCCCCCCAACGTGTTGTGCCTGCACCTGCCAGCATTTTTTGAACCTTCCAACGAGAGTCATGACGGAGGACAACGAAAATGTCTCGGGGTGGGAAAACGCACCCGTGACGGGCTGCAAATTAATACCTATCAGAGTTGAGTTATCAAGCGGACTATCACATCACAGTTGATTGCCAGTAATTGCACCATAGTAGATCATGGGGCTCGAACACAACCTCCTGAATGCCACTTGCGTGCCAAACCAGCTGAGCTAGGCCGCTGGGTAGCAGAAATCGTCTCAGGGCACGGGGAGCGTAAACTTTCGCTTGAACCTTATTGTCCAATTCCGTCTCAATCGTGTGCTTGGTCTTTACACGGCGTAAGCTTTCGCTTGAACCTTATTGTCCAATTCCGTCTCCACCATGAGTTTGATCGTGTGCTTGGTCTCTGCACGAATCGTCGGTGGCGTGAGTCTCTGTGAGTCTCTCTTCCCCCCTGACAGCAGCGTTGCGCGGAGTCCATAACGTCAACAGGCCTGCTCCTCGCAAAGCCTCCTCTGTGTACGTCAGCGCTGGCGAAACTCTAATTCGATCGGCAGCCCCGCCCACTTGGTGACGCAGCAGTGGTTTAGCAGATCGTGACCGTCTTCTGATTGATTCGTTGTTTAGCAGATACATCATAATGATCCCAACAAGAATGCCCCATTTGAAGTCTACCCCAGTATGATCGGGCTTCACACTGGGTACGAGTCTCTTGACTGAACCTGGCAGTAAATGCGGTCCTATACGCGCAAGACTATCTGTGGCTATTCACGATGCAAGCGGCGATGGAGGAGCCAAACCAAATCGGTAGCGCAGCGCTGCTTTCCCCGAACAGAGCGCATGGGCGCGGCGTTGATCTTCTACGGGGGTGGCGTTCGGTTCGACGTGCACCTCCAGTTTTGGCGGAGAAGAGAGATGCGCACCGCACTGCGCATCAACGGTTTGTGATCGTCGATAAGCAATGCGGACACGACGTTGCAGGCGTATGCCATGCTCACACCAGCGCCTTTTTGAGTTAATGGTTCTTCCTTAATTATGGTCAAAGGCTTTCAAAATGCCCGAATCTCATCGCGCCAGTGGTGCTTAGGCAGCAGCACGGGAGCCTTTTAAGTAGTAGTACTCTGTCGACTGCTAGACCCATTCAGGAAATTCGCAGAGGGTTGTTTTTGTTTCTGTGGCTATTCCTCTGTGTGTGTGTGTGCGTGCGTGTGTGTGTGTGTGTGCGTGTGTGCGTGTTTGTGTGTGTGTGTGTGTGTGTGTGTGAGAGAGAGAGAGAGAGAGAGAGAGAGAGAGAGAGAGAGAGAGAGAGAGAGAGAGAGAGAGAGAGAGAGAGAGAGAGAGATCATTTTTTGTAAGGGTTGAGAAAAATGGGGACCGATAGGGGGAGTGATCAACAGGAGAAGTCAACAGTTGATGACGATGGGACGACGCGTGGGTCGTCCGCCTCGAAGAGCATTTTTGCTGGGATTATGAATCTGAGAGGCAACAGCGGGACGCACTCGAGGATGAAGTTCTTCTCCTCGAAGATGTCAGCCGTCCGCAAGATCACCAAGGGCTACTTATCAGTGACCCAAAGAGATCGAATGACCAGGCTTCCTTCCCTTGGGGACAACATCACAGAGCTGGACGTGCCGGAAGAAACCAGATCTCTACCACGTGGCTGGTGGTGTTTGCTTCCTCTTGCCGCCATTGTAATTGCCTGCGTCTTGTCGACTTTCGGGATACTGTACCGGTTTCAGTTGGACAGAGAGAGGTCGAGGATGAACTCTTACTGTGGTCTTGCAGCAAAGGCTGTGGCGATGAGGATGAACATGACACTGGGCAGGTCGCGGATACTGGCAGAGCTCGTGCAGCTTTACAAGCAGAAAACTTTAAGCTATATAGATATAATTGATTATAATCCAATGGAAGGTTATTATGAGCTTCTTGATGATAACACTATGGGGGAGGCGGCAGACCTCGTGGAGAGGGGTTTCATCCCAGAAGTGATGGGACCATGGCAGTTTCAGTACTACACGAATATCACTGCGTTTGCCTGGAGGGAGCTCGTAGGAGTGATGTTCGTCAACCACGTGCCGTCGGAATCTGCCGACAATGACGTGCGGGCGCGGAGCCCAATGGTCCGCATTGGAAATTACTCTTTCTATCTTGGAATCAAATTGATCGACTGGCCTTTGCAGACAATGGGCGTCAGGCCTGGGGATAGTCCGCTGCCGGACGACAATCTCCTAAGAGAAGGTTCACTTCCACTCTACCTGCTTTCCATCTGTATCTCTCCGCCCGCCCTGCCCGCCTGCCACTCGTTTTTTCCCTGTCCTTGATTTCGTTTTCTGCTCGCTAACCTTCAACCCGGCGCTTGCATCCTCTCTCTCTCTCTCTCTCTCTCTCTCTCTCTCTCTCTCTCTCTCTCGTCTGTGTGTGTGTGTGTGTGTGTGTGTGCTGTCAGTGTGTTGTCATATTTGCTATACACTAAAAAACAGCATGACTGTGCCAGACTGTTTTGTCGGACTTTGTGTGTATGACTCATCACAGAGTCATCCGGAAGTTGAACCTCGACATCCTGTCCAAGGTGATTTTGAGAGGCGTATTGGGACATATCACCTTGGGCACATTTCGTTTTCGAGGGTGCCCAACAGGGACGTCATATGACTTACCGGTTAGAGCCAGCCGGACAACTGGCCATCAGCCACAAGGGCCTGTCCACGCCACACCCTGCGCAGCAAGGACCACCCCCACAAGGAGGCCACAAAGACCAACCGGAACGGAATCGGGTGATCGTATCCCCGGTGCAGGGTAACTAAAATCATCCAAGTCATCCATGCTTCCTCCTGCGTGCCCGGGTGCCTCTGGTCGTTGTTAGCAGGTTGTCCTCCACAGTGGGCTATTTACCACGAAGACGATGATTGCCCCCACATCCATCCAGGCAATGGATAAGATGTTCTCGTACTTGTCAACCATGACGAGGACTCGGGGGCAATACATAAGGACCCTTTTTTTTTTCCATTTTCAGCATTCCATTATGAAATCAAAAGACTCTGAGGCTGGGAAATGAGCTCATTGACAGACGGTGAGGGCACGGGTGCACAGCCCGTAGTTTGTTTGTTGATGTGTTTCGGGAAGGATAAGGTAGTGAGTATGCTGCATGTATGTTTTGTCATGTTCTGTGACGCACGTGTAGTGGCACGTGCGGAGATGGTGTGTGTGTGTGTGTGTGTGAGAGAGAGAGAGAGAGAGAGAGAGAGAGAGAGAGAGAGAGAGAGAGAGAGAGAGAGAGAGAGAGAGAGAGAG